CCCTCCCTCCATTTATTCCTTCATATAATCCGTAATCAAATATTCGTTCACTTACTGCGCTGGTTCGGGTTCGATGCACTCATTGGGGCCATCGACATAGCGACAGACCTTGACAAGGATGTTTCTTCCCGTGTTGCGGATATCTGCAACATTGGTTCGTACAACCATCGACAGGTCATTAAGGACGTGACGGGAGGAATGGACAGCTAGGTAAGTGCCAAATGGCCGCACGCTCCAGGGGTGTCGATCGGCGGCATTCCAATTACGCGTCGGCGTGTGTACGTGTGTGAAGATCAGGACAGGACAGGACAGGACAGGACAGCGCTCGGCAGCCTGGTGACCGGGGCTTGGGGAGAGCGAGCACAAGGCTGCGCGCAGGCTAGCAGCCTGTCCAGCTGCAAACTAGGCATCCAATGTATCGGTGCTGCGATGGATCCTGTTTGACCTGGATCCTGTTTGACCTGGATCCCGTTCTGGATCCTGCCTGAAATACTTGAAGTACTCCGACAGCAATTACTTCAGCCGCAATTTTATTTTGCTTTCACCATTGTTCTAATGTGACCCCGGCCTCCCGTATCCGTTTGCAAAAAGACAGCGGCGTCCGGAGGGGATGCAAATGGCCGGGAGGCGCCAACCACCCACCTCGCATCTGATGCATCCGTCTACTAGCATGTGGAACACAGATAAAAGACATACATACATACATACAACTCCCTATCTCAATTACGCCGTACGTATAAATTCGTACATGCCCAATGTGTCGTACAACCGCGCACCTCCGGTAACGATTTGGAGGTTGTAGCCGGGGAGTGTGAATGCGCTGTTCGGGTTCACGACCCCGATCAGGGAGACGATGGGATCCATGTACGACATAACGCCGCTGCTGTCGATGCTGGTACCGGCTTCGTGGATGCTGACCTGCGATGGAACGGGTGTACGGCAGCGGGAGTGGGTTATTGGTCTCGGAGCGGGTGAATCAGACGAAGTACGGACGTAGTACTACTGTTGGGTTGGGTTGTTGACACGTTGCATGTCGGTGTTCCCCTCCGCGAGTTAGGTAAACGTGCGCGGGAACTGATGCCCGTACACCCGTACGGACCCGTACACTGGCATTCAGCTGGCAGAGCCGAATGCGTAACCATAAACAACGTATTAACGGGAAGTTATGTAGCATAGCATCTCGCATGCCGCGCCTCAACGAATGCGTTGGGAATCAGAACTAGTACAACCAACACAAGGACACAAGGACTACCAACTGCTCTGTACTGCGGAGCCCTTTATTGATCGCACAGCCTCTTGCGTGTGCTGACGGGCTTTGTCATGGTGTTCGCTGTCCCCGGTTTATTCCGGAGCATAGAAGGGAAGCCCCTTGCGCTTCCGCAGGGATAAGGCCCACGCTATATCGCGTGCTGTGCATGTTTTTTCATGGGGTTTCACTGCTTGGGTTAGTTCTCGATTCCAACTCTCGTCAATGGCAGGCGTCAACGGCCACCTAGCATGCGAACGGTGGGCTAGCTTCGTGTGTCTATGCGTGTGTGCGTGTGTGTATGTGTGTATGTGTGTGTGTGAGAGAGAGAGAGAGAGAGGGAGGGAGCGTGTGTGTTCGGCGCATTCGCGCCGGACCCTGTGCATGCAGTTCAGATGCACGTATGAATGTCGTACTCTGTGTACAGGTTCCTACCTTTCTGCTAAACTGCGCCGGGAGGGAATCGTCCCCACCACCTCGAGACCTCAGCGCAAGATATATGTTCCTGCATGGAAGAGTTTTGTTTCACTGTCTTTGGACCAAGCAGTCGTTTTAACAACAGCCCAAGGAGGTATTATTACGATCTACAACTAAAAAGAAAAACGAACGAGGCGGCGCAGAGCACCTCGACGCGATGCGACGGTGCGGGGGACGAGAGATTTGTGGACGGCACTTACTTTGTATAGGCGGCCCCTAGCCAATCGGGAGTGATTTTCACCATGACGCCCTTGGAGCCCAGGTAAGTAGCCCGCAGGGCAAAGCTGCTGAACGTCGACGCAGGCAGAGACGAGGAATTTAGTACAGCCGCGGGGGAAGCCCAGCCCAGGCGCGACAGCTCGGGGGCTGAGGGACAGCTGTTCCCGGAACCCATAACTGTGGAATTGTCCCCGTACTGCACGCCATTTCTCCAGGCGGGGTGCAGCCCAAAGTTCTGTAGCAGTTCTTGCATCACCGTGTTCCGCTTGACTTCACCCTGGGGAGGGGTCAGAAGTAAGAGGTAAGAGGTAAGAGGTAAGAGGTAAGAGGTAAGAGGTAAGAAGAAGTACTTTGCAGCTCATGAAGGGCCGTAGCCGTAGAAAGGAGGACCAGGGACCCATTATTTACAAAGTTAGAACGCTTGGGAATGATGTATACACTTATTTATTTATAATTAAATAAAGATTTCAAAGATATCACACACCCGTACACGAACCCTTACTTACGTCAGCAGTTGGTTGAAGCCAGCTCTGGAACCCAGGAAGCTCGCCCAGGCCGGCCCAGCCGCATGACGTGATGCCCAAGGGCAGAATGTAGGTGAGGTGGCTGTAAGAGGTGACCTGATTTCCTGAACAGGGATGAAGCCATGAACAGCTTGATTTATTAATGGGTGAGGGTCTCGAGCCGTGGATTGGGTCGCCTTTTCCGAAACGCCTCCAACATAATAATACGGTACATGGAACCGTAGCTTTATTCACTTATACAATTATAACACACGTGTCTTAAATAGGCAAAACCACGCCGCAGCCAATGTGAAAGATAGCACCGTGCACGTGAACAGCTGCAGCCCATACATCCGCCCGTCTTATTGCCCATGTGTTGTAAGTAAAGCCGCATACTGCTGACGAACAGGCCCTCATCACCCTCCCTCTTTCCCTGCTTGGCTGCTCTACCCTGCCTACCCGTTGGTAGCGCTCTCCTGGCCGCAGAGGCGATTGCGTCAGGGTCGCAGCTCATAATTGCCGAAGAGCAGGGCACTGTCACTGGCACGACCTGAAATTTGCAAGTCCATTTCAGGTAGGCACGGGCACAATCAAGCAGTAGCAGCAGCAGCAGCAGCAGCGGCGGCGGTCAGGGTGGGCGTGTCGGTAGTGTGTTGGCCGGATGAGGCTTTAAGAAGGAAGCTTTTCGGTGTGCGCGAGTGTGCGCGAGTACTCATATAGTGTAGTATTAGGAATATCGAGTGTGCCCTTTGGTGGCTGGCAGGCTAGCCGAAAAGAACCGTTGACCCGACCATGCAAGGCCTGGACGAGCCTAAGAGCCATAGCCCCAGCGGGTGAGAGCAGGATGCTGACCAGATGCGGCTTAGAAGAGGAAAGACCAAGCAATCGTCCACATGTTAGCCTTCGTCGAATGCATGCCCGCATGGATGCAGCGGCAGGTGCCAGAAGAGGCCACGGCGCAGGTGCACCAGATTGAGAGCGCATGCATGCGCTGCCTCACCTTGAATATGCTCCGATCGACGACCATTTTGCCGTAGCTGCAATTGTTCAGGTAGTCTGCAAAACCGTCAGAGCCCAGGTACAGCTCCTCGACTTCTGCCGTCTGCAGCATGAGCGGGCAATGGACCGTCAGCAACCGAAGCCCGATAAGCAACACGATCGCATACTTGACCATGCAGTATCAACGATGGTGATGTCACGGTGGTGCTAAGGGGCATGTATATTTAGGGGCCAAACCGGTAATGGGTTGCCCATCCCGTTAACACTCTCGACAGCCGGCGGCCTGCACCGTCCTTTTATCGCAAGCCACTATATTACTTGTGGTGGTACAAATAAAGCCGCAAGTATAGCCGCGCATGCTGCTCTATCTGGCCTCAGCTCCAATGGCATTCCCCTGAGGACTTTGCACCTCCGCATCTTCTGACAAACCCCCACCAGCTTGCAGGGCTCCTGGATACTACTTGCACACCCACCCACCCAAACCCACACGTGATTGATGAGCGTCTCTTTGGATCCCGCATCCTGCAAGGAGTCTGAGATATCCCCATCCCGAAAGAAGTTTGTCAACGAGTCCCCTCACGCACCGACATTGCCGGCAGAGCGTTGCACACTGAGGTGGCATTCAGCCTGATGGCCATGACCAGGATGTTCAGCCGGACATCGCTGGACGGCGTAGGCGCCGGCGTGGCGATGATGCGAACACCCGTGACGGCTGTACACTTGGTTGACAAAGGCCCGGCAAGAATGCATCGCTGCGGACATCGGGCGTTGTGAGAGGCATTTGTGTGTTACTGATGGGTGCATCCTAGCTTGGCGTGCATGGCGGAACAGCTTGCACACTTATTATTAAAGTGTGCCGGGTAAATGGAGGACATGCGGGCAGGAAGGATATGCACTTGGTCACGTTGAGCTGGTGGCGTGGGAGAAATCAAGGTGCATAATGAGCTGGGAGCACAGACGATGGTCGACGACGGATAAGGCTGCGGATAAACAGGAAGGCGGCGGCTTGTATTGTGAAGGTTTTGTTGTGGTGATGGAGCGTGCGTTTGGGGGACCCACCTCGCAGCTTTTCTATGGCTTGTTTGCAGCACTCTTTCACAATCAACACACACATACATACACATACACATACACACACGCCCACATACACACTGCTGCTCTGCTGCTTCTCGTCCGTGACGAGGTCACGCATGATGACGCCACCCGCAAAGATGTGGTTCACACACGCGACTTCCGTCATTCCGTCATACCGGTTCCCGCCACCACCTTAACCTTCCGGACATATAACGCTGCATCTGCCCACCGCCTTTTCTTGTCAGCTGCAGCCGATGGGTGCTACCCTACTTTTGTCTCTCAGCTAGCTTCCGATAAGCTGGCAAGCCGACAGGAGCCGCAAGCTCCTCCCAATGTGAACCGGGAATAAGCATGCCTTCCTAATAACGTAACAACAGATTAACTGTGACCAGGCCCGCTGAGTGCTCACCAGGGCGACGTAGTTGCCGGGTCCAATGGCAGCGCCAGAGTCCGAATCCGCCGGCTGTCCTGGGAGCTGGTAAGCCCGATCGATACCGTCCACGGACACCGCCCAGCTATCCGGATCTGCAGTACGGACCGCCAGTTTGCCCTGGGCGCAGCACGTGCGAAACACGGAAGTGACGATGTGAGGGGCATGCGTATTTGTAGTACGAATTTTTCTGCATTGTAGGACTAATATTCGTGCTTTCGTTTTGTGAGTCCGGAGCCTGTTGGGCGTCGGCAGCAGCATACCACAACCTCAATAGCGCATATTCGGCGGAGAGCTGTGGAAGGCTGCTTGACCTCCCCACGCACATAGATGCATGGGTGTAGGTCGCACATACTTAGGCGTAAAAAGGTCCGATTTCCCGTTTGACATGTGCATCCACGCATTATGTAAATCTCCAGCTTTTCCGGAAACTTACTAGGGCACCTTTGTACGCATCACTGTGCATAGACAAGTGAGTCCAAAATGAAGTCAAACTGCACCTGAGCGGCCCATCCACCGCACCCAGACTCAGCGCAGGTACATACAGAGGAGGTGCAACGGCCCCAAAACCAAAACTGTGCCGCCATGGGGGGGAAGTCGAAGCCGTATGCATCACATTTTGCAGCCTTTGTGGTTGTTTTTTGCCGGACAAGTTTTGGAAATTCTCCAAGTTCTGGAAGTTCTCTTTGTTCCCATTATGCCGGGCTCCTGTGGGGCCGGTATCGGGCGGCCGATGGCCCTATCCAAACCCGTATGGCACCGCCTCATTTTAGGGCTGTCAACTCTGTGCATGAGATCTATCAGGACACCCCAAGCCCTGTAGTGTGCTTGGGACAACACTCTGTTGGCGACCACCTGCAGTTGTGGCACCAACTAGCTAATAGTGATGATGGAGGGTGACCCCATATCCCATATCCCAAACCCCAAATCCAGCACGTCACAGGGTATCGCAAATCTGTCTCATCCTCGCATCAAAGACTGTGGCCACTTTACGACTGCACCCGCACTGCCCTGCACGACCTGCCAGGACGAGGACGAAAGGTGGGTGCTCGACCCGCCCTTGGTGCAAAGAGCTCGGCGTGTTCGGCGGCAGAAGTCCCCAAATGACCGCCATTAAGTCAGCTACTGCTGCTGCCAAGGTCGGCCAGCTGTGTGAAGTGCATGGCAACTAGCCATGCACTCACGTAAAAAACATGCAATCTAGTAAGGATGAAGCGCCCTTCCCAGACTTACGCTAAGGTTTACTGAGTAGACGGTTGGGGGTGAGCGGGAAGGCGTTGGAGTGGATGACCAGGCGGCCCAGGCAGCTGCACGATGCACGGCACAGATGGCAGCATGGGCGAATGTGTTCTCAAATTACTTTCAGGCTGGCAAACAAACGAACCCCTCGCCCAGTTCCAAAAGGAGTGCGTCCAGGATATACGGGCGTTTAGCTGCGGTTTTGATTGCAAACATGGAGTACCAAATGGCCCTTGGTGCGATAAAAGTGTAGGCTGGGGGCCGGGGCAACTGAGCGGACACCGTTAGAGCTCAGAGCAGGTAAACCCACCATTTTGTAGCTGGAAGAACGACAGCAGCAAGAGTAGTGTCTGGCCCCGTGCCGCCCGGGGAGAGGGAAAGAGCGGCTGCCGCGGCTGCGGCAGCCACCTGGATTTCATGGCCGGAAGTCGCAGCTGCTGTCCTCGGGCCCTGACAACTGAATACAAGGGACATGTACGGCGGCCGGAAATGTCAACTTCCTGGGGCAACATCATGACCGTTGCAGAGGACTTACAAAATTACAGACAAAAACGGAAATAATAGTACAAACATGACTCTTTGGCGATCGCTGCTGTGCACGGCTTCTGTAACGTCAACGTCAACGGACCAGGAAACCAATAAAAAAACTGCGATTGCCCATTTGCAGCACTTTAGCTCACTCTGTCATTTGCATTACATCTTTACAGATTGACTTGGTATATATGATTTCATGACAGCCACAGCATATGAAAGGCAGAGAGTTGATACAGCATTGAGCCGGGCTTGCAAGGGCACTCTCATGGTTGATTAAAGTTCTGATCTCTCAAGTACCTTAAGATAATGTTTGTATGAAATAGTCCTTCAGTAGGAGGCGGAGGTTGTCCGGCTTGTAGTCGGGCCTGCAGCAGGTCGCAACACCGCTCCGCAACTACTTCATCGCTTTCAAAATCCAGGAATCATTTAAAATTAATTGAGCCAGAGAATTACCCTGACCTATATCAAGTTATATGAGTTCTGCTCGCGAATTCATCATTAGTGAAAGATAGGGCCCTCCTTGCGGACGTTCGCGAAAGGTGAAATAATTGCGCAATAGCTGTAGTACCTTGCAAGTAATACCTGTTAAGGAAATTTCATCATTCTTCTGCAACTATCAGCACTTAACTACCTTCGCCCTGCTAAGATGAGATACGCCTCAGTGATTGTCGTAGTCGCGTGAGAAACGCACATCTTAAACGCATCATAATCACATGCAAACCCCAGAAAGATATGTTGTTCAGTATCATCGTTTCATTTATTCCTCCTTAAGTTCATTCGTAAGGATGTTTTACCCTAGCGCGTCCCAACCCGTACTTCAATCAGCTTGCATTCAGTGAAAATGACCTTAAATCCATAAGACATTTATACAGTTTATTGATTTGTTGCAGAGGTTACGGGTGGATTAGGGGTGGACGGGTTGAAGTGTTATGGTGGGCGATCTCAAATGCGTGCACATTATGAACAAAATAGGTAAAACGAGAACTATGATCGTAGGATATGTTTTTCCATTGTTTCCGTCGACGGATAAATCGGCTTTTAAGCACCAGCTGGCAACCCATTCCAACGGCCCTTCTTTATCAGGATAGTGTTATGACTTCTCATATTGACAAATTTCAAAACTCATTTTGAAGTCAAGTTTTCATTAGGTACAGTTATCTCATTTCGTATATGACCGGCGCGCGCCTATTGGGCCATGCCACTGAGCACGCCTTTCCGCGATAACTTCCCTTCGGATCGCTGATAGACAAAATTATGCAAATCTGGACAGATCGGAACAAAATCTTGTCAATCTACATTCAATCGGCACCTTCGGCGTTCGCGTGCCGACATTACACTTTCGCCCGCCACTCGGCGCACTGAAGGTCTATTTGCTTGCCACCTCATCGGAACTTAAAGCTGCCCAATAACTCCTTTACAAACGCTGTGCCACCAATCACGGATACGTATTCCTCTGCCTCAGGGATCCGTAGCCCGTATCATCCTACATTACTCATTTCTTGGGGTGTGCAAAGGACCTGGAGTATGGCATCTTTCTGAGAATGGCTTGTTGTGACGAGACTATGACAGCGGTTATCGCACGTTCTGGAAAATGGAAAACGTTGTAGTAAGTCATCAACGGGCTTGTCCAACTTATCAGGCTAACCAACACCCTTACGGACGGCGCGGGAGCGCACAGGATGAGTGTACGCACCAAGCTGATGCACGAAAACGTTTAATTGACATGGCTCTCTCCCTCCCCCTTTCTCCTCTCCCTCGCTCGCCCTTTCCTCAATACTTTTTCTCTTTTTCAGGCACTTATGCTGTTGCCCATCCGGTGCGTGCATGCAAGGGCGCCGCTCGACGCCACACATGTATATGCCTTTAGTTGCCGCAGCCGACCGCAAGGAAAGAGGATGTCATGGAAGCTAAGGACACTGTCTGGTTGAAACGAGTCGGATGCCAGCTTTCTAGGAAAGGTCGCGTTTCCCCTGCAGCAGCTCCTACAGCAGCCGACTTTTCCGTTGATCATTGTGGGCGAGCAGATTTGAAAGCGCTCCGGGATTATTATACGCATAGTATGCATAAATGGCACCAGCTGATCCACTTATCAGGGACTTTGCCGCAAGTGGAAACACTCAAAGCACCTGCATGGAACAAAACACCCTTCGAGGCCAGCCATATACGGCAATCCGCGGCAATGTACGGCGATCAGTGGCAATGTAGGGCGATCTGTGGGAATATCTGGCAGCCGAAAAGGCCTGTCCAGTTGCTGGCGGAGCGCTCTAGCGCGTATTCATGGAGGATTGTGCCGTACTGTACGATAATCACAACAGGCAAAGAGCGATCTTAACTGCATCCTGTGACCTACTTCAGTCGCACACAATATTTAAGTGGTTGACTTGTGTGCCCGCTGTGTACGCGACGACGGCAGTCAACAGCATGATGTGTGCATTACCATCGTGTATCACATCGCCTAGCTGCTGCCGATTGCCGTCGACAACAGCAACTCGTATGTACTGAGCGAACATGTAAGTCGACCCAAGACCAAAGGGGTGTACTGCCGAACGCATGTACACCTCCCGGTTTCCTAGGATTTCGTTCCTGACGATGTCGCTCGTGACTGTGCGAAGCATGTTTATGTAGGCTTCATTGGTTCGCGCCATCCCCGCATCCCCCGTAATAGATGTAAGATTCTTATGGAGGTGCATGAGACTAACATTAGCATTCAACTGTACGCATTGCACATATTGTTGGCCGTGGGATTTGACCCCGGCTCCGCGTGTAAGTCATCACTTCGTTTGGGCTTATGCACCTGCATAAGAATCATACATTTGTTTTATTAGAGGGTTTGGCACTACTCGTAAGGCGCGACCAATGCCCCCGGGAGATCCCGGGATCGACATCCATTAGGGTCAAAATCCTTCCGATGGTGGAAGGCATAGCGCCCCTAGTTGATGGACGGTGGTGACCTGGGATAAAGTTAACCTGCGAGCCGACCAGGAACGGAGGTGGGCCGCTGTCGACCCGGCAGATTCCGTTGGATGCTGGTGGTGGGTGCGGAACCTGAGCGATCCACTGAGAAGTTGACTAGGGTGACTGGATGAGGGTGCCCCGAAATACCGGGGAAGGCAGGGTTTCGCAGGTAGCTGCCACGGGCGAAGATACACCCCCCTGTTTCACACATCATTTATTACGGGGTATGCAGAGATGTCGCAAACCACAATAATGGGGCAGTGAGTGCCGCGAAATGTGGAGTGCAGCTAGCGATCATTTGCTACAACTACAAGCAGACGGGCCGTATAGCTCGGAGTTGCAGAGAGCCGCAGCAAAACGTGCAGGAGAGGAGTGGAGGTGTTCTTTGCGCCCACACGTGGCAGACGGGGTAGCATGCCTCAACAGGCAAGCGGTGGCTGCAGTGCAGTGATGACGCATATTTTTTGCTGCAAGAGAAGAGCAACTATTTTTTGTTAAGGGTAATTGTCTGGCTCCGGAGCGGCAAATATTGGTGTACCTGAGTCGGGGCCGCTGCCAAGTGGTAGACTTAGGATACTCGTTCAGCAAGGATTCGTATTCCCGCACCAAAGGACACGTAAGGCAACAAGAACACTCAAAACGCAGATCCACAGAATTCTGCGCCTGTTTATTCCTGATCATACAAGTTCGATTCGAACACACAGTCGCTACCTGCGGCCACACTGTTAACCGCCGCCATTTATGTAATTGCACGACATTGCGCGTAGCCAGGAAACTCTTATGATTACGCTATGCTCCAGGAAGCTAGCAAGCAATTTCTCCGGGTGAAATTCTGACCAGTCGATCCGACCAAAACACCGTCCCCTCGCTCCGGGACAATGACCTGTGGACCGCCGTGGACGACCCGTCCCCGCATTGCCCAATGAGAGGCATACAGGTGCGCAAGCGTAAGGCAAATCCTGCGACGAATTCCCCATGAATAATGTATTTTCGCAGCGCAACGCGATAAGCGGCATCAGATGAGCGGAAGCCCTGCATCGAGGCACAAAGCTACGTACATCAACCAACCTACCTACCTAACTAACAACTACCAACCAATCTAACAACCGGTGCAGCATATATGCGATGAAAACATGGCATGAAGAGACTGCCCGCGACGCAAGGCAATCAATTGAAACGGACATGTCTACGTCGCCCGCCATCGGCTATCGCCCGCTCAACAGCCTGGCGGTTGCGCTAGAGGGTAGGACAAACTGTCGGGCAGAGCAATTCTTTTGACTGCCCCGGTCGCACAATTCCCGTGCTTCCCTAATTCGACACCCTGAACACGCTAATTCTGACTGTCCGAATGTCCCTGCCAGGCCAATTCGACACCCTGTCAGCCTAATTCTGACTGTCGGAATGTCCCGCCAGGCTAATTCGTATCCCTGTCAGGCTAATTCTGACTGTCGGAATGTCCCTGCCAGGCCAATTCATATCCCTGTCAGGCCAATTCAAGAGCCTGTCCCGGCAATTCAACTTGTCCCAGGTGCCAATTTAACCGAGCAATTTAGACCAATTGCAGGGTCTGCCCCCATACTCTCAGGCACGCATTCAGAATCGCGGGAGTTGAAGGAACTTTACAAAACGATGGGAGCACTTACAAATATCTCTCGTGTGTTTGTTGGTTTCAAATCCGTACATGCTTGTACGGTAACAAGGCGTGTG